CTTATAGCCACCCCTAATTTTGAAATGATAGACTAAAGAGAAAGCAGCTAATTATTACAAACCACTGCTTAATCTTGGACATTTCTTCACCAACGGATAGTTCAATTAACTGTTACATTATAATGTTCCCACGGCTGAAAGAACGAGCACATTCAGTACCGCGTTTCGATCTCGGGATTCGCAGATTGTGAGTTGAGCGCCTTAACCCCAGGTTTTGATTAAAGCAAAAAATTAGAGAAAAGCACTCACTGAAATATCCGATGAATAACCTGGATAAATAGAATAGGTACTGGAAACAATAAAGCTGTGGAAAAGCCAGAATCTGCTTCTTCCTCCGTGATTTTAACAAAATTGGACGAGATGCCAATTAAAATTCGATGACGAGGAACCCACTTTGAGACTAATAATGCTTGGAGATGGCTTGAATGGGTAATGATGATGGTGACGAAAAATCTTGTCGAAACGTTGTACATTTACTGTTATGTTAAATTTATATTAAAGTTTTTCTTCATTATTAGATGCCAATTCGTTTGGGTATAAAAAAAAAGAGAAAGTTTTCCGGAATAGGAAATTCCTTTCTTTAGCCACTTGAATAGCTCAAGATTTCTTGAAAACAATGGTCTGGTCAAGTAAAGGCGAACCTCATGGTCGTGAATAAATGATGTACTTCTGAAACGTACAATTGTCTTATTTTTGCTCAATTTTTAAATGTTTTTTTTTTTAAAGCGAGAAAGTTGCTGTGGCCCATAAATTGAGAATTAGTTCTCAAAGTTACTGTTATAGAAAAGTACCCATCTCCGTCACAAGTAAAAAAAAAGATGAATAAGAGCAAATTTATCAAAGATCACGAAAACTCTAAAATACAAAACATAGATCTCTATTAGTAGGAAATCAAGAACACTACACAGATATGTTTAAGTCAGTCAACGTGTCATATATAAAAGACTGTTTAGTGTAAGTAGTTGTTACGACAGCGGAAGTCACGTGACACTAGTAACACGTCATGAGCTTCTAGAAAATTCATGTCCGTTCGTGAAGCCTCGATTTTTTACTAGATGTGCGGTATTATTGTATATAAGACCGCCAAGAAGTGACGGCAACAATGGAATTGAATTGCAGACAGAGATAGAGACGGACAATTGAGTCAAGCGCGTGAATCGTTCGTTGTGAATTATAGCGTTTGTTTAAGTTAACTGACTGTGGGAATTAAGTGTATTGCAAAGTTGTATTAAGAAAGAATAAACTAGTTTTATTTAAGGAAGGACTTGTATTACTGAAGTTTTTCGGAAAGAATTTCTACGGAAAATTAACAAACGAACAGAGACGTAACATAGTATTATTAATTGATGTATTTTGTGTTTGTAATTCATTGATGTCGAGGCTGTTGAACGTTGTGTGCAATCCATTGATATAGAGGCTATAGAGATTTCTAAAAGGCCTAAGTGATAGGAGTATAAATAACGGCGACCAGACGAGCGGAAACAGAAAGAGAGAAAAAATAAAGTCAAGCGAAAGAGAAGATCAGTCAGAGAAAAGTTAAACGTAATGCTAACAGTCGTGTGAGTGAGAGGCCTAACGGTTGATATATTAGAGTGAGATAACAATTTTAAAAGAGATAAAGAGAATAAGTTGTCTCGTCAAAGGGTGTTTTAAAGTAATTGAATACGCCACAGTGGACGTTGACAAAAGGCAGATGACTATTGGAAGTACAAAAGCAGACGATTATTGGAAGTACAAGATATAACAGCGATGATCAACGACAACGTAAATGAACTATACACGAATGTTATTGCGATAAAAATATAGAGAGAAAAATAGATAGGCTTGTCAACTGAATTTTAAAGCAATTGAATTGGCCTAAGTGGACTTTTGACAAGAAGAAGAAAACTG